ACCCCGTGGGGCCCCCCATGCAGGAGCTGAAGGACCTGGGCGTCACCGTCTTCATTGTCAGCACCGGCCGGGGCAACCGCCTGGAGCTGTCGGCCGCTGCCTCGGCCCCTGCGGAGAAGCACCTGCACTTCGTGGACGTGGATGACCTGCCCATCATTGCCCGGGAGCTGAGGGGCTCCATCCTCGGTAGGTGGGCGGGCGGAGGCGGGGCTGGGGGTGGCCGGAGCCCGGCCAGAGAGCTGGGGTGGGATTTTAAAATATATACATTTTTAAAATTGATTTCAGAGAGGAAGGGAGAGAGAGGGAGAGGGAGAGAGAAACATCAATGTTGAGAGAGAATCATTGATCCACGGATCAGCTGCCTCCTGCGTGCTCCCCACTGGGGACTGAGCCTACCACCCAGGCAGGTGTCCTGACCAGGAATCAAACCGTGACCTCCTGGTTCCTAGGTCGGCAACCAACCACTGAGCCCCGCTCTATGGGCCGGGGTGGGATTTAAGAGGAATCTGCCTGGAGCAGGGGCCAGGGATGCAGGGCAAATGTCCCCAGGGGTTCATCGGGGAGGTGCCCCCTACCTGGGCCGTGGAGGGATGAGAGCAGGCCTGTGTGAACATCTCCACGTGGGGCTCTCTGAGGGGCCCAGCACCTTGGAGGAGGCTCCAGAGAGTGGGGGGCCCGGTGTGGACCCAGGGGCTGCGCTGGTGGGGTGTGGCTGAGTGGAGAGGAAGAGAACGGGACTGCCAAGCCTGAGGACTCTGTAGGGGCCGCAGGTACCCCTGTACCTGTGCCAGGGCCCACCTGGAGCTGGGAGCCAGGTCAGGAGCGGCCGGACCGCCTCCTTTGGGCTCTGCTTGACCCCAGTGCCCCCCGGGGTGAGGACAGCTGGAGGGTTTCAGCAGGTTCATTAGCAGCTCCTTCTCCTGGACCCCTGATCCGGCCAAACCGCAGAGGGGGCGGGGCTGGAAATGAAGGGCCTGGTCGCTGGCTCGGCCTGCTCCGTAGCCACTGAAAAATGCCACTAACCCCAGGGTTCTGCCCAAGTCTCCGCCTGTGGGTTAATCATCCACCCGAAGCCAGAGGAGGTTGGCCTGTGGGTTGCAGGGGGACCGGGTGCCTCCGAGCCTCTCCTTCCGGGGACACCTGGCCCTTGGTTGCCCAGGTCAACCACTCCACTGGCTGAGCCTGAGGCTGCAGGGCAGCCAGGAGTGTGGGGTGTGGGGGCTCCTGGGATGGGAGTGGGTCTCCGTGTGGGGGACGGGCAGGGGAGTGAGTGCCAGGCTGGCAGTAAGGCCCCAGCATCAGAGGAGGAAGCAACAGGATCAGGATCGTGACAGGCTTAACCCTGCCCAGACACGCATCCGCCATCTCCGCCAGCTCCGGCCCAGATGGCTCAGCAGTAACGCTCCGGCTCCGGCTCCGGCTCCGTGGGGGATCCCACTCTGGGGTGACATTCCTCTGGGGGCCTGAGGCAGGCAGCCTGCCCAACCCCTGTCCGACTGCTCTTGTTGTCACACCCTCAGCACCCCTCGGGGTGTCCCCTGGTGGCCCCCCATCTCCGGGCTGCACCATGGGCCCCTTTGCCTTGACTACCCAGAACTAAACTGACCCCAGGCCCTGGGTCTCTCTGGCTGGGGGGGGTTGGGGGGGGCGGGGGAAGAGCTCTCTGTTCTCAGACACCACCTGGGGCCCTGTCACCTTTCAGGGGCCCTTGTCCAGGCCTAGATAGCTTCCCAGTGGGCTGGGGCCGGGGCTGGGGCTGGGGC